ATCATCAAAATCAAGTACAAGGTCATGTTCAACAACCGAACCAAACAAATCAACTGAACATAGCACGATACAAAAAGGCTGTGTCCACTGCATTATGGCTGCAACTGACGCTGGTTGCTTGTTACCTACCCCATGCTGTGGTGGAGGCTTTGGTGACAAATAGTGGCCTATCTTCAACTTCTTATTTTTGCGCTTGGAGTTATGCAACCACTTTAGTTTTCTTAAACTCATCATTAAACCCCATTCTTTACTGTTGGAAGCTAGAAGAAGTTAGACAAGCTGTAAAGGACACAATCAGACAAGTGCTTTGCCATTGTTTTTCTACTTAAATCCTATGGACCAAAACGATAAAAAAACAAAAAAAAAATGGTTCAAGATTTCCGAACTTTTTCTGAGGGTTCCGTATTGATACCACACTTGTGTTTCTAAAGCATAAAATATCTGTCTGAATTTTATTCTGATAAATTAAAACTTTTTTTCAAATGACGACTTGTACTTTTTCCGTTATAAATAAAGAGAATAAAACAAAAAAAAAAACATTCAAGGCTGTCAGAGGTATCGATGGATCGGATTATACACCCACCGTTTTTGCACACCAAATAGTCTTTAACTTTTTCAACTCCAAACTCGAAAGATCAGCCCGTCGCTTTGGCAGTTTACGGATGAATCACAGGTATCCCAATCTCCTTGGGAGCCGTGACTAATTTAATCAGTTGCCTGACAAAGCGTAAATATAAGTGTTTGTATGGGCATGTAACGATCTTACATAAAAGTCGAACTATGGGAAAGAAATTCAATTTAAACGATTACTTCGACTCTTCTGTGTGCTACTTGTGTATCCGTGGCGTTTTGGAGCCGTTTCAAAGCGTAACATGCTATCGCAAACACGAGTTTAAAATGATCATAACTTGTTGATCAATGTTTGGGTTTGTTTGCCTTCTTCTTGGTGTAGAAGACACTGGATATGCAACAGTTGAACACCGCTCCCAAACCTATTGTTTTCACCCATTTCCTGGCTCTTTTGATGTCTTTTGTTTTCAACTGAGCCCTTTTCTTAGGCCATTATTGTATCATAAACTAAAATCTGTGGTACTATCATTCAATGCATTTTTTCTTCCTTACCATTGGCCGAAAACCCGCCGCGTGACATGTGACAAACTTGGTGATCGAGCGATAAAACATTTATTGAACTCGGTTATCGCAAAATATAATAATTTGCCTCGCAGATCAATTGCTTGCCTCAGCTTTCGGCATCAGCAAAAAATTGACCTGCTCGCCACTGACAAAATCCCGATATTTTGCTACAACTCAGCCAATAATTGTTAATTGTCATTCGATGCATGTTTCTTACCTTTCATCAGATGAAAAAGCCCAACATGTGACCTGCAAATAACTGGCTACAAATAATGGTCCACTTATGCGTAATACCGTCCAAATGCGTAATGCTGCAAATCATATTCCGCTCACGCGTAATTGCAACCACGCTTTTGTGTGAAAAAAGGCGGACCACTTCCCTAATATTTCAGAGAATAATTTAAAGATGTAAACAAGCTTTGGTGTTCGAATAATGAAATAATTTATTGAATCGGTTATCGCAAAACATCAATAGTAGTAGTAATAATAATAATAATTTACATTTATATTCCGCAGGTTACATGAATATTTGATCACTTGCGTATATCGCGCGTGATCTGTCCGCATCTCGTGGATCAATTACTTGCCTTGCACTTCGGCTTCAGAACAAGAAAACTGAGCTAACTCATTCTTGATACATTTCTATCCCGGTAGATCCCGTGAAAAAAAAAAAAACAGCAGATTCCTTTCACCTTCAAAATATTTTGTTTAATATCGCCACTATTATTTATTTCAGTATCACCAATCTAAAAAACTGACAAATTATTAGTTTGATGGGTAACCGAGAAAGCAATTAAATTTGGACCTGACTGGTAGATTTAGGAATTTGTGAAATATTTCCTGAGGCCAAAACATGCACTTCAAAATCAATGGCAGGACAATAAATTGCTACCTTTCTCCTTTTTCCATGTTTACTATCAAATGAAAGAGAATGCAGATACTTCTATCTCGTAGCTTTCTGTCAACGAAAAGAAATAAAACTAGT